GGGGGGGGGGGGTGCGTCGGTGTGAACATGTTGGGCTGAATGGCCTGTTTCCGTACTGCAGGGATTCTATGATTGCAATCACTACACGCAGCATTCCGCTTCTTGATGTCCTCCCTTTGCTATGCTGTTCTCCCAAAACCACTTAAACTCACACCTGAAATCAGGACCTTTCTGACCTTCATACACCACATCCGACGCTTTTGCTTAGAAAGAACAAAATACTGAGTTAGGAGCACTGATAATTCATAGAATATGGGGGAGTGAGAGAAAGGGGATGTTGGTGACTATATGCCACTTCCTCATCAGAGTTTGTGAAACTCATTGCTCACGGGACTTTGCCTAAAAAAGGGATGATTGAGGTACATATCTACCTCCAAGGATGTTTGAAAACTAAATAATGGAATATCAGTCTTGGCTCAGTGTTAACATCTTGACCTTGGAGGTAAATGTTGTGAGGTGAAGTCCCCATCTCATAGACAGTGAGCACTTTATCCAGCCTGACACTTCACTGGAATCATGAGAGAAGGATGGTCTGTTACGTGAGCAGTCTTCTGGGTCAAACATTAAACTGAGGACCCATCTCCCACTCAGTAGGGTGCAAAAGATCCCAAGGCACTGTTTGACTGAAAGTAGGGGAGCTCATCCAGTATTCAGGTCAATAGGTTATTCTCAACAAATATTAGCTATTTATCCTGTTGCTGTTTGTGGGATCTTTCGGTGCCAGAATGGCTCTCCTTAACCTGTATTTAATTGGCTTTCATTAAAAAAAGCAATGAGATGTGTGAATTGCCATAACAGCTCCACACTTTACCTTTACCAATATTACAAAGCACCTTTAATGTAAAGTCCCGAAGTGCTTTTCGGGAATGTTATATAAAAAAAAAACGTCATCAAGCCAGGCAAGGAGATATTTGGTCAAATGACGAAAGGCACGGCCAAAGTGGCACAAGTTCTATTTTCAGGAATGTCTTAAAGGAGGTAGTGAGGTAGTGACGTGGAGAAGTGGAGGAAGATATTGTAACAAAAATTATACATTGGCTGGTAAGGAGCTGCTTTAATTAATGAAACAAATTGAGACTCTAGTTGCTTCACACGTCAATTGAAACTTGGGAATATGAACATGTAGCTCTGTTACTTGATATGCAAGTGAATCATGCTCACTGCTGACAAGTGACTTGAAGCTGTTGCAGAAGTCAATGTGCCTTGTATGTATGCTTGATTTTCACCTTCTTGACAGACTATCAGTATGGAGGAACAAAATGCTTTTATAGTTTGCTTGCAGAGTCATTCATTGCTATTTATACCCTAATGATGCAGCTTTGCATCTGTTCACATTGGAATGTGGCAACTTGAAAAGTTTAAAACTCCTTCAACAGAAATACCAAGGTCTAGGCTAGAGGCACCACAGTATTAGAAGTGTACCAATAATTATCTTGATTTAAAAGGACAAAAAACTAGTTTATGTGATTTATCAGCTTGCTGGAATCGAGCTTTACATTTTGCAACTTTTGCAAATGAAATTACACATAATATATTACAATGCCTGTGAGTTAATATCAAGAAGTTTTTACTCATGCCTTTAAAACAAAAATATTCAGCAATCCTTCAGTTCATCATAAATTGCTTCAGGTGGCTAGAAGTTGGAGGTAATGGTGTGTATTCTAAGTTTCTTTTGATTTATTGGTGAGATAACAGTCTAGATTTTCCCATTTTAAACAAGTTGTTGTAACTGGGTCACCATGACATTAAATGACATAGATTGGAAAATCTAGGTTACTAACATTTTGAAAATGGAAATAAGATCCTACACTAAACTTTAGTAAGTTAACATTGGTCCCCCACCTATAAATATATCAGGTAATGTTCATTCATCCAGATGTGCTGATTAGGCACCTCAACATAAATTATAAAAACAACACAAACTACTTTTATGAAAATTGAAATGTCATTCACCAGGAGGTTCTGACTGATGTAACACAAGTTCCTGTAGTTTAACCTGTGTAACATGTACTGAAGCAACTTGGGCTCTACAGAGGTCTGGAAGTTTATTAATAACCAACCATTGTACAAACATAACATCACAGACTTGAATATTGTCTAGGTACTGTACTTACCTATGTTGTTGTTACATTATGAATGGTTGACTGACTGACTGTTGCTGACCAACAAACTGAATGTAGAAAATTAATCGAAAACTTATTATACTGGAGTATCACATGTCATGTTGCAATCTAACTACCTTAAAAGGTACAGTTTCTTTCTGAGATCTGTGCAATAATACAATGGACATGACAGTAGTGATACTTCTTTATTAAATACCAGATCAAATTTTATGTACCCAGATAAATGTTCAAGGCATAATAAATCAGAATCCTAACCTAAAAATATACCAAGTATTTAAATAATCATTTGCCTTAAGGAAAGGATACTCCATGAAGTGTACTAGGTAGTCACAGATATTGTCAGAGTACTTACAGGGCTATTCTATGTACTGGTGCACTAATGATACAACACTATTTTGTTCATCATATATACAAAGAGGAACAAAATTCATTGGGAACTGAGACATGCATCCCAAATTGCAGCCTTCCACTTTCAATAGAAACAATGTATATCAACAACTACTAGAGGAAATATGGTCACTAAAGTGAAAACCTGCTTGATCCCTAAGGAAGACAAGAACAAAGATTGCTTCAATCCCTGATCTGGGTTATATTATCTGACTTATAAAGTCAGGGTTAGGCAATTTGGGAAGGAAAATCTAGCACAGAAAGCTATCAGATGCTTTAGATCACTGCAAGGGTTAAAGACAGAACAATTTTGCTACTTAAGGTATGCAAAATACAAAACTTTCCATTCTGCTGTCTGCAGGTTTAAAAGCATAACAAAGAGGCAATCTGTCAACAATAGACAGATTTTTATTTACACTAAAGAAGACTTCTTAACAACAGCCACAAGATGCGTTGGCGGGCACTTGCAGCCTCAGACTCCGATGTTCATGCATTCAGCTATCTTTCTTGCAGTCTCAATTTATTGGGTGTTTGTACATAGCCCTACTTAAAGGAGATCATGTTGAGACAAGAATAACTTCTGCTGCAGAACATACACCAATCTTGGCTTGTTCCAAGTTCTTCATTTCCTCAAGGTAGGTTTAATTTATTGTCTTTCATTGTAATTGCAACTTCCCAATTGTACACTATTTACAACAATTACAACAGTCATTTTAAACCATGTTTATACAGATCCTTGAAAATTAATTTAATTGTGCAAAACATTTGAGGCTGATTTTAAGTTAGTTACTTTATGCAATTTTAGTGATAAAAATCAGACAACTAAATTTATTCTTTTCAATATGCTCTGTAGGATGGAGTGAGCTTGTGCAGTTTCAATAATTAAAGTTTTTCGTTCAATTTTCATTCCTATTTTCTCCCTCCTATCCTTTGTGGAGAATGGGATCATTAAACAGCAGATCTCTGATATTTGGTCAAGTGCTCATTTTGTATGAGTGTCCTTAGGCATGGAGGTCCCATCCTATATACACTGTAATTTTCTCAGTCTGCAAACCTCCGAGGTCTGTTTGTGGCAGCAGCTTCAAGAGTCAGAAGTCAGAGCATTGGCACGCCAATCAGTAAGTGTGAAACCTCCAAGCAGCTGGGCAACTGCGCAGCACAGAGGGAACAGAGACGTGGCCACTGGTGGGCGAGGTGACAACAAATGCGTTATGGTCGGTGGAACCTCATTAGCATTTTGTAGTTCAGCTTCCTGTCCACGGTCCAGCTGAGCAAACAACCTGGCTGATGGCGGGAGGATGATATAGTGGCAGGAATTTCCAGCTGGGGTCTTTTGGGAAAGGAAACCCAAAAAAATAAGAGGGGTTGGGGAGGTCACTTTTAAAGTCCTGGTGAGGGTATCGGATGGGTGGAGATATTTTAGCTACAGGACTATATTAAAGAAGTTACGGTTGTTCTCCTTAGAGGAAAGGAGATTGAGGACACATCTGATCAAGGTGCACAAAGTTTCGACACCTTTCCACAAGGCGGACATAGAAAAGCTGCTCTATTAGCTAATGGTACAAGGACTAGGGCAGACTCAGATTAAGATTTTGGAAAGAGATAAAGGGAATGTGGGAAAGAACTTCCTTTAAGTATTAAACCATAAGACAATAAGGCACAGGAGCAGAAATTAGGCCATTCAGCTCACCGAGTCTGCTCTGCCATTCAGTCATGGTTGATAAGTTTCTCAACCCCATTTTCCCGGCCTTCTCCCCATAACCTTTGATCCCCTTAACAAATAAGAACCTATCTATCTCTGTTTTAAATATACTCAATAACCTGGCCTCCATAGCCTTCTGTGGCAATGGATCCCATACATTCACCACTCTCTGGCTGAAGAGGTTTCTCCTCAACTCTGTTCCAAAGGGTCTTCCCTTTACTCTATGGCCACTCTCGGGTCCTAGTCTCTCCAGCTAATGGAAACATCTTCCCAATGTCCACTCTGTCCAGGCTGTTCAGTATTCTGTAAGTTTCAATTAGATCCCCCTTTATCGTTCTAAATGCCATCAAATATAGACCCAGAGTCCTTAAATGTTCCTCATACGTTAAGACTTTCATTCCTGGGATCATTCTCGTGAATCTCCTCTGAACCCACTCCAGGGCCAGTACAAACTTCCTGAGGTATGGGACCCAAAACTGCACATAATATTCTAACCAGAGCCTTATGAATCCTCAGAAATACATCCCTGCTTTTATATTCAAGTCCTCTCGAAATAAATGCCAACATTGCATTTGCCTTCCTAACTACCAACTCAACCTACAAGTTAACCTTCAGAGAATCCTGGATAGGACTCCCTTTGCACTTCAGATTTCTGAATTTTCTCCCCATTTAGAAAATAATCTATGCCTCTACTCTTCCTACCGAAGTGCATGACTTCACACTTTCCCACATTATATTCCATCTGCCACTTCTTTGCCCACTCTCCTAACCTGCCTAAATCCTTCTGCAGCCTCCCTGCTTCCTCACTACCACCTGTCACTTCACCAGTCTTTGTATCGTCTGCAAACTTAGCCAGATTGCCCTATGTTCCTTCACCTAGATCATTCATGTATAAAGTGAAAAGTTGTGGTCCCAACACTGACCCTTGTGGAACGCCACTAGTCACTGGCTGCCATCCTGAGAAAGGTCCTTATAACCCAACTCTCTGCTTTCTGCCAGACAGCCAATCTTCTTTCCATGCTAGTACCTTGCCTCTAACATCATGGGCCCTTAACTAACTCAGCAGCCTCCTGTGTGGCACCTTGTCAAAAGCCTTCTGGAAGTCCAAGTAGATAACATCCATTGGCTCTCCTTGGTCTAACCTGCTCATTACTTCCTCAAAGAATTCTAACAGATTTGGTGGAAAACCCGGTGGAAACAGATGCTCAATGACGTCAAAAGAAAATTGGATAGATATTTGACTAGATGGAAATAGACTGACAGAGAGGAGGATGGAGCAGTGGAATCTGGAACCAACTAGATTTCACTTCAGAGGAAATAAGCCTGGTTTTGGTGGGTGAAAAATCTGCATTGTCTCCATAATAAGGGTATAATTATGAGTGTTGGAATCAGAAGTGGGAAACCTGCCTTCATGAGGGCTGGATGGTGGCTGGAGACCCAACCTGATTGGTAGGGTATGGGAAGCCTGAGAATGGGAGATGGGATCATATTCTATAAATTTCTGACATGTTAACTGTTCAAAATAAAACCAAATAGAGTCATTTTATTTTTTTAAAAATAAGTAACTATTTGAACCTGATCATTGTAAAGCCCAGACCATCAAATAATTGATCATGATGCAACATAAACAATTTTTATCTCTCTAGAAGCTTCTACAAATTAACTGCCAGAGCACACTGCAATGTGTTGAAAGACAGACGTACCATATACGCCCTTGTCCAGCAAGAGTAAGAATTCATACACTGCATTACGCATCTCTGATTCGGTGAGGTCCAACAGAGATACCACTTTAAAATCCAGCTGTCTCAATAAATTGGTCAGTTCATATACATCCATCATTGGTGCCTTTAACTTGGGGTGGTTGAGATACGACATGTTGCCAATCAGAAGAGCCACCTTGTCTGTTGCTACAAAGATAAAATATTTAGAGATTTAATAACACAAAAAAATCATAAAATAGAATCATAGAATGATACAATAGAGGCCTGTCATTTGGAGAGCTTCCTTGTGCTGGTTTTCTGCAAGGGTATCACTCTAATCTCTTCTCTTCAAGTATGTACCCAATTATCCTTTTGAAAATTCTGAATCTGCTGCCCTTTTCTTTTCAGGCTGTGCAATCTAGGGCATAACAACTCACTGTAGAAAATGTTTCTCCTCAACTACCTGATGGATCATTTTGTGAATTATTTTAAATTGGTGTGCTTTGATTACACAGAATTAGGACATACAGCCCAAGAACAAATGCACTTTTTTAAAATTAGCTGGGTGAAATTCACAGCACTAAAGTTTACAGTAGGTAGAACTTAATGAAAAGGATGCACTTCCTTCAACAGTATAACTAGAAATATGAGCCACTTCCATTCATGTTCGGCATCCGAGCTGATACACATACAACAACAATGCGATATACAGTGTATTTAATTATAGGTTGAGGCAGATAATAAAAACCCACATCTGACAAAATCTAGCATCTGCAGGAAGGAAGAAGCAAGAGGAGACTGGACGGCAATTAAAGCATTGCCCTACAGCCTGCATTCTCTTTTATAGCCTCTATCAATCACTTTTGGAAATATCCCCACTCCCTCTCCACTTAATGGACATTTTTGGTAATCGAATGCATGAAAAATAGATTCCAACAATTAGGCAGTCTGACATCTGCTCTACCACTGACACACAACTGGGCCATGTTTCAGGAACACAACCTGACCTCAAACAGCAAAATTTCATCTCCCCAAAAATGTCAATTTCCCACCTGCCCACCAGTTTTCTGCTCCCAGAAGCCCCATTAAGTTCTGCCTAGTATCTTCTCTCTGAACCTTCATTTATTCTGATCCTATTTCATTAGGCCATGCAATGTAGGAGCAAAAATAGGCCATTCAGCCCATTGAGTCTGCCCAATTCAAAGCAGGACTAGGTGTGGAATGCGTAAAATGAGTTGAGGGATGGAATCAGGCTCTAACGTTTTATTGAACTCAATGTTGATTAGGACTGTTATGACATAGGTTGCTTTCAGCATAGTCACCCATTCCCATGTATTCCTAGGCCCATGATCACACTATATAGATTGCATTCAGCACAGCTAACCCATTTTCTCACTCTTAGCTCTTATTATCACTTATTCACCTTTTCTTCTGTCCAGCTATCCATTATCTCCTTGTTTATCTACCCCTTTCATATCTCCCTCTCTCTCTGGGCTCCATCTCCACCTCCTGCTCACCTCTCTTCTTCGCTCCATCATTCCCATCCACCACTTCGCCATCAGCATAAAAACCACCTTTTCCTAGCTACTAACAGTTCTGATGAAGAGTTGCCTGATTCGAAACACTATCTCCTATTTTTTTCCCATAGATGCTGCCACACCTGCTGAGTTTCTCCAGCAATTTCTGTTTTTGTCACAAGAAGAAACAACCTCTCTGCATCGACTCTGTCAAGCCTTCTAAGAATCTTGTGTGTTTCAATATAGCCACCTCTCATTCTCTTAAATTCTAATGAGTACAAGCACAATCTAAACAACTTATCTTCAACATATCTTTACCAGAAAATCCCTCCATACCTAGGATCAATCTATTTAGCCTTTTCTAGATTGCTTCCAATTCCATTTTTTTTCCTTAGATAAGGGGACCAAACTGTTCACGGTATTGCAGGTGTAGTATGTGTGCGCTTTGTACAGTTTCAACCAGACTTTTTTTTTTATACTCCATTCCCTTTAAATTAAAGGCCATCTTTTCATTTGCCTTCCCTATTACCTGTTGAACTCAGATGCTAGCTTTTTGTCATTTATGAAGAAGAACCCCCACATCTCTGTGTGCTATAGCTTTCTGTAGTCTTTCCCCACTTATTCAGTGGTTACAATGGCATTTGTTAGAAAGGATAGTCTAATGTTGTGAACTTTTTCTGATCTCAAGACAAAATTGGGCTGGGCCACTGAAGAAAGCCACTTGGCCCACTTGTCTGTGCTAGCACTCTGAAGGTTGTAATTTACTTAGTGTTCCTCCTTGGCCTTCTCCTTGTAGCTCTGCATGTCTTTCTTTTACAGATCATAATCCAATTCCCTTTTGAATGCCTTAACTGACCCTGTTTCCACAACACTGTCAGGAAGCGTATTCCAGCTCCTGATCATTTCCTACTTGAAATTGTTTCTCCACAGGTCTCCACTCCTTTGCCATTTACCTTTAATCTGTTTTCTCCACTTGTTGATCCTTCCATCAGTGGGAAAACCCTGATGATTTTGAATACTTCAATCAAATCTCCTTTCAATCTTCCCTGCTCCTAGAAAAATAACCCCAAAAATAACCAGCTACTCTGATGCAAAATTCTTCACCCACAAACATTCATCCAATTCCTCCTGTGGAATGGTCCTATTAAATCTGTTTCTAACCTCCGGGCAATTTGAAAACATCAACTGTAGAAGTCAACTACTTTTCTGGGAGATTAGCATAACATGAAATGAAGGCAGTGTTGGTGAGTGAGCAAACATTTTCCTCTTGTTTCGTTTACAAGGTCTGCTCATAAGGAGTGTGTTTTTGGAAGTTTCAGGCAACTCTATCACTGCACCAAAACAAATGGCATTGGTTTGACCAGAAAGTATCTGCAGATCTCTGTGGTTAAATGGTTAGCAGGTAGCTCAAAATAACAGAACTAGCATAAGCTCGGTTCCTTTTTCAGTTAGGGTAGGCTTACAGCTTGCTTCCTCACTGCCTTAGAGGTGAGGAAAACTGCCAAGAAAATAGATCAGTATGGAACATCAGCAGATAACAAGTCAAGAACCTTCCTTGGCAGACCATACATGAATGAATAAATTCTATTCATTAAGCACTTGTTTATTAAAGTTGGTTGTATCAGTTAATTAAGTGTACTGAAAATTTACTTTAGGAAAAAATAAAATATGATACTAACTGATTTGCCACATTTATAAAACATCCACACAGAGAACAAAAGAAGGTAACTTCACTCACCATAATGTCTTTGGTTAAATCCTAAATCTAGTGGTCCAACTTCAACTGGATCACCTGAGATAATAAGAGAAAGGTAATACTTAATAGAAGTTCAAGGCCTTCCTTTCTATAATGACTGCTTATCAATTTTCCACAATCATACTCAGGCCTCAGTACAATCTACAAGTGGATTGAATAGCTACCAACTCACTCTAGGATTCTAATTCACTTCTTCAGAAACTACTAGCATGTATTTCTTTTTTTAAACAAGATTACCTGCAAGTTGAAGAGGACATTTTTTTAATTTAAATTGAAGCCCGCTATTTGCTGTGGCAAGAATTGACCCCAAGTCTCCAGAACATTACCAGGGCCTGTGGGTTAATAGTCGAGCAATAATACCACTAGGCCATCACCTCGTTGGCTGCAGTGCTCAAAAAAGCATTAATTCAGATTTTAATGATGGTAGAACTAAAATAATTTACTCTTTCAATTGTTCAATGAGGATAAGAGCACCATCATTGAGGTAATCTGTGGATCTAATACACACAACATCTGCCAACGTGCATATTAAAGTTTATTTCTGTAAGGACTGGAACACAAAAAAAGCACACACTTGCCTGTTTCTCTAGGATACTTGCAGTCATCTGAAAGAGATTCAGCAAGGGAAAAGTTCAGTAAAAGCTAAAAATTTAATCCCTGATTTTACATATGAAATAGGAGCAGAAATAGGCTATTTGGCCCTGCCTGGCTGCTCCACCATTCAATAAGATCATGGTTGATCTGTGTCTGTTTTGTTTTGCGTTTTGAATTCCTTGTTCCCATTTCTTGTCATTTCCGTCGTAAAAGGGCGACCTGTAATTTCTGAACACTGCTGTCTAGTTCTGGGCTCATCCACTGTGTCAAGATCGTTCAGGACCTTAGATATTCACATCAAACCACCGCTCATAATAAAAGCAAAATATACAGCAGATGTTGGAAATCAAAAATAGAAAACACAGAAAATGTTGGAAAAACTCAGCAGAACTGGCAGCATCTGTGGAGAGAAAAACAGAATTAATAATTCAAGTTCAATATAACTCTTCTTTGGTGTCTTGAAATTCTAAAGAAATGCCACAGTTGGATGTTCTTCATTGTGAAAAACAGAAAGGAAGAGTATTACTTAAATGGTGATTTATTAGGAAGCATAGATGCACAAAGGGATCTGGGTATCCTTGTACATTGGTCAAAAAAAGTAGACAGGCAGGTGTAACAAGCAGTTAGGAAGCAAATGGTATATTGGCCTTTCTTACAAGAGGATAGGAGTTCAGAAGTAGGGATGTCTTACAGCAGTTATACAGGGCCTCAGTGAGATCACACCTGGAATACTGCCGGCAATTACTGTCTCCCTACCCGAGAAAGAATATACTTGCCATAGAGAGAGTGCAGTGGATGTTCACTCAGCTGTCACTGGAATAGTAGGACTGTTCTGTGAGGAAAGATTGGTTGTAATAGGGCTGGGCAGACTAGATGCAGGGTGGATGTCTCTCCTGGTTTGAGAATTTTGAACCAGGGAACAGAGTCTCAGGATATGGGGTAGACCAACTAGAACTGAAATGAGGAAATAATTCTTCATTCAGAGTTGTAAACCTGTAGAATTCTTTAACGCAGAAGGCTGTAGAAGCCAAGTCACTGAATATATTCAAGAAAGAGATAGATACATTTTTAGATTTTAAAGACATCGAGGAGTTTTAGGAGAAAGCTGAAATATGGCACTGAGACAGAATATCACCATGATCATGTTGAATGGTGGAGTTAGCTCAAAGGGCTGAATGGCCTACTCCTGGTTTCGATGTGAGCTCTGATTCTCTCTCCACAGGTGCTGCCAGACCTGCTGAGTTTGTCCAGCATTCCTTTGCTTTTATTTCAAATCACCCCTCACTCTTAAACTTCAGAGGAAACAAACCCAGTCTGTCCAGCTTATCCAACCAAAAACAATCAGTTCATTCCAGGTAGCATTCTAGCAAATCTCCTCTGAAATACCCCTAATATTTTTATATCCTTCCCTTAAATGAGGACACCAAAACTACACACAGTATTCGAGATGTGGTCTCACCTAATATTCTGAAGCACAAAATCCTTACTTTTACATTCAATTCCTCTTATAACAAAGGATAGCATTCCATTAGCTAGCCTTCTTAACTACTCGCTGTACCTGCATGCTAATGTTTTGTACTTGAACACCCAGATCTTCTGCTTCTTAGAATTCTGCAGTCATTGTCTGTGCAAGTTATACTCGGCTATTTTTATTGCCTGCTAAAATGAAGAACTTCACAGTCTCCCACATTATACTTCACCTGCCAGATTTTTGCCTACTCACTGAATGGATCTATATCCATCTGCGACCTCCTGAGGTGTTCTTCACAAGAGGCATTTCGAATTCTCTTGGTGTCTGGATGCCATGTGAAAGGAAGGATGTGAACACATTGAAAAAAAGAGTGCAGTAGCTGTTTATTACATCAGAGATGAGGAACATCAGTTACGAGGAAAGATTGAAAAAGTTGGGACTATTCTCCTTGGAGAGAGAAAGGCAAAGAGGAGATCAGATTGAGGTTTTCAAAATCAGGAGTAGGCTAGTTGGAGTAGATAGGGAGAAACTGTTCCCACACGTAAAAAGGAACAGGAAGAGAGTATCGACTTAAATTGATTTGCAAATGAAGGAGGAAATATGAGGAAAAGCTTTTTCACTCGGCAATTAGTTAAAGTATGGAATGCACTATCTAGAAGTGTGGTGGAGGCAGATTCAATTGAGGCATCCAGGATGGATGATTATTTGGGTAGAAATAGTGTGCAAGATTATGAGAAAAAACTAGTAGATTGGTATTAGGTAATGAAGCTAATTTAATGTGCTGGTACAGGCACAGTGTAATTAATGGTCTCCTCCTGCACCATAAATCTCCTATGTCATCAAGAGTTTAGTTTCATTGCTTTCACTGCCCTCATCTAGGTCAGTGACATACATTGTAAAAAGCACAGGCCTCAACACAGAGCTTTGCAGGACTCCACTCATCACATCCTACAAATGAAGAAAAGACCCATTTATACATCCTGTCCGTTTACAGCAACACGGTGGCTCAGTGGTTAGCACTGTTGCCTCACAGCGCCAGGACCTGGGTTCGATTCCACTCTCGGGCAATTATCTGTGTAGAGTTTGCACATTCTCCCTGTGGGTTTCCTCTGGGTGCTCTGGTTTCCTCTTGTAGTCCAAGGATGTGCAGGGTAGGTGAATTGGCCATGCTAAATTGCCCATAGTGTTTAGGTTAGGTGGGTTAGACCTGGGAAATGCAGGGGTAGGGGAATGAGTCTGGGTGGGATGCTCTTTGGAGGGGTGGTGTGAACTTGGTGGGCTGAATGGCCTGTTTCCATCCTGTAGGAATTCTATACTGTCAGCCCATATTCTATCCATGCAAATGTGTTACTGCCCACACTGTGAACTCAAACTTTGCTCAATAATGTTTTGTTTTTTTAATACTTTTCAGGTCTAACAGATGTTGTGTCACACCTAGAGTTTAAAATGATTAGTGAGAAAAGGAAAAATAACAATAGTTCAAAAACAAAGTGAACCTCCTTGTCAAGAACCTTTTTTTCCAAGAATCAGAATGAAAGCAGTTGGTTATTACTCACAACATTATTTACTTGATACTCCAGAGTTTATGCAAACTGTCTAATTCAGAAGTTGTCCCACCCCTAAAACTTTCTTTTTGCTGCTTTTAAAAGAGAAAGCATCAAGTGCTAGAAATCTGAAATAAAATCAGAAAAACAGAGTAATATTTCTGTTATTTTTAAGGAAGGTTTGACCTTCAGCTGGAAACGTTCATCAGAACTCGAAGACAATTCTGACACAGTTAACATATGACATGTTAAATAAAAATAGAAAGTGCTAAAGACTCTCAGTAGGTCAAGCAGCATCTGTGGAGAGAAGAATGTTTCTGGTTGATGACCTTTCATCAAAACTGATGAGTGCTGATAAGCTTTGATGATAGATCACTACTAAAACATGGAGTGGAATCTTCCAATTGTTGATCTAAATGCTACCACCACCCATCCCTCCCCCTACCACCCACAGTCCAGCTTCATCATTAGCTGCTGTGACATTTGAATAAATATTCCTGCTGGGAGCAAATCCCGCCAACATCTGCTCTACCCCCACCCCTATGCACAAAATTTTGTCCAAGGTGAGAACCTGGCCTATCTATCGAGTTTACAGCTATTCCATCAGAGCTAGGTTGGAATTTCACTGCAAGAGACATATAACCTCAGCTCTGTCATTTCAAACAGCAGGCTGCATTTGTGCATGAATTCAGGAATATAGTTTCCAGTCAAGGAATCGACTAATGGAGCAAGCCAATGCATCTAAACATAGGAACAGGAGTAGACCAGTCAGCCCTTGAGCCTGTTCCACCATTCAATGAGATCATGGCTGATTTGTGGCCTAACTCCATATGGCCCAGATGCCTTTACTTACATTTGTTTAACAAAAATTTATCTACCTCAGATTTAAAATTAGCAATGATCCTGCATCCACTGCCATTTGTGAAAGAGAGTTTCAAATATCAACCCCCTTTGTGTGTAGAAGTGCTTCTTAATATCTCTCCTGAATGGTCTGGGCTTAATTCTCAGACTATGTCCCCTTGTTCTAGAATCCCCAGTTAGTGAAAATAAATCATTATGCTCCTGGCTTTCTAATTGTAAATTCTTATGCAATTTTTTGTCTGAAGAATGCAATGAGACAATATTCTCTCTCTTATCTCCAGTATCCCAAAATTGTAGTTTTAAGAAAATTAGACGAAGCATCACATTGCAATGTATAATGAGCTCATATTGATGCTCAGCTCAGTTCTGAAAAAGGGTCACCGAACCCGAACTGTTAACTCTGATTTCTCTCCAAAGATGCTGTCAGACCTGCTGGGCTTTTCCAGCAATTTCTGTTTCTATTTTGTTTCGTATTGATGTTTTATGTCATACAATATTAACCCTCAATCTATTATTTATCAAATTTCAAAGTGTAACTCCTTACCCACAAATACATTTGCTTCCATACTCCATTGTTCCGCCTTGTCGTTGAACACACGGCAACAATACTGTCCCTGGTTGTCCCGGTTTATGTTACTTATCTGTTTTGAAATAAAGGTGTGTTTAGATTAGTTACTTATGTACACGTCATACAGAGATTAGAGAGTGGAAGTGATTACACTTACACAAAAGATGTACAAATCAGGAAATTGCTTGACGACAGTCTACTACAATGGTTCTCAAACAAACATTCTTAGTTGAAAATCCCCTTTTGAAATGGATTAGTAACCAAGGAGCCTTTCTCTAAATTAATGAATATATTAATAAAAGAATATAAAATATTCCTGGATGAAAGTGTTGCATATTAAGTTCTGAGGAAGGGTCACCAGACCCGAAACGTTAACTCTGTTTTCTCCTTCACAGATGCTGCCAGACCTGCTGAGCTTTTACAGCAACTTTGTTTTTGTTGCATATTAAGTGTTTATTAATGCTCTATCAATGACAGGAGCCCAGACAGCGCAGACCCCAAAGTAATCAGGAGTTTAAAGGAAGCAGTATACCAAAGGGTGCAGAAACTCACAGGGAGCAGGAATTTGGAAATGGTAGGAATGAGGGAGAGAAGGAACAGGGAGAGAGCAGGAACGTAAGTGGAGCTGAGTGTACATTCAGCCAGCCTACTCTTACAGTGCCCACCTGAAGGCAGATCTTGTGTCAAGGATCCTCTGAAAAGTCTCTGCACATCCTCACAGGTCAGTAGGCCCTATTTTGAGAGCTATTGCTCCATGATTTACGAAATGCATTCCCATCATGCAAATCTCCCCCAGGCAGTGTGAATACAGATAATAAATGCCTTTTTTAAAAATATACAAAGACAATTGAGAGTACTTAATTCTCAGAAAGAAACATCTTGACCTAAGAGATCAGCAAGTTGTCTCAGCTTTTGTCTTTCACAATCTCCGGCTGACCCAAACTAACAGACAATATTTATTGAAGAGAAGTCACTACCACCAATATGCACACAGATAAGACACGCAAAGAGAAATAAGATTAATGAAAATTTTAGCAAAATTAATTGAGAGATAGATATTGGCTACATGACTTTGAGGAACTCCTTTGCCAGTTTAACAGTGACAGATGAAGGCCAGATGCAATTGACAGCACCCCTAATTGGGCAGAATCTCTGTTTTGGGGTATCAGCCTTAATTATGCATTTAGTGAATAGAAAGTAGAACTCGGAAGCCATGACCTCCTGTGTCAGAGGAATGAGTGCTACAAAATGAGCAATGATGGATAAATTATTTTTAAATATAAGATGGGGCTATGTTTTAACTTTTGGGAGACAGCTGGAACACTGGTTAGCAATGCAGTGACCTCATAATCTTAGTATTCTAGCCTCTCGGCGGGTGCAACTCTCCTGGTTCATAAGTCTCAATTTTGGTGAGCAGCCTTTATATGGTACTTTGTCACTTGCTTAAAATCCATTCAGTCAACCTGCTTCATCAAAAGTTCAACTGGACTAGTCAAGCATGTTTTGCCTTTCACAAATCCATCCAAACACCTTCATTAATTCAAACAAAAACCAAAAGAACTACAGATGCTGTAAATCAGGAACAAAAACAAAGTTGCTGGAAAAGCTCAGCAGGTCTGGCAGCATCTGTGGAGGAGAAAACAGAGTTAACGTTTCGGGTCCGGTGAGCCTTCCTTAGAACTGATGGTGCCTGGGAAAACATCAGTTGATATGCAGAAAATACCTTCATTAATTCATCATAAGGTCAGAAATGGGGATGTTTGCTGATGAATGGTTCAGCACTATCCGTGATTCCTCAATTAGTGTGCAGTCCGTGGCCATATATTCGAAGACCTGGATAATATCCAGACATGGGCTGATAATTGGCAAGTAATATTTGCATCACACAAGTACCAGGTAGTGACCATATGTAATAAGGCAACCATTACCTCATGATACTCAATAGCATTGTCAATACTGAATTACCAACTATCTGTCCGGGTGCATAATGGTCTGACCTGGCAACTGCTCTGCCCAGGACCATAAGAAATTGCAGAAGGTTGTATGCAAAGCCCAGGCCATCATGGAAGCCAATCGGCCACTGATGGACTCCATTTACACAGCTTGGTGCCCAGAAAGATTGTCAACATCATCAAAGACCCATCACATCCCGGTAACGCTTTCCTACAACCTCTTCCGTCAGGCAGAAGATACAGAAGCTTGAACACACGCTGCAGCAAGTTCCAAAACAGCTTCTTCCCAGCCATTATTAGACTGATGAAGAACTCTCTAACTTCAAATAATGCCGATCTTGCCAATGTTGATCTTGCCAGTGCACGCCCTGTATGACGTAATCTGTATGTCTCTGTCTAAGTCTTTTCTTCACCCTATGATCTGTATGTCCTTGCTTAGTATGTTCTGCCTGTACTGCTCATAAATAAAGCTCTTCACTGTACCTAGGTATGTGACAATAAATCAAATCAAATATCAACATCTTGGGGGTTACTATTGATCAGAAACCAAACAGGACCAGCCAGTGACTACAAGATTGAATCAGAGGCTAGGGATTCTTCTGCAAATAACTTACCTCCTGTCTCCCCAAAGCCTATCCACCATCTACAAAACACAGGTCAGGACTGTGATCGAAGACTCTACACTGGATAAGTGCAGTTCCAAAAATACTGAAGAAGCTTGAAACCATACATGACAAAGCAGCCCACTTGATTGGCACCACATTCACCACCTTCAACTTTCACGCCCTTCACCACTGAGGCACAGTTGCAGCAGTGTGTACCATCTAAAAGATACACTGCAGTAACTCATCAACGCTCAGTAAGAAGTACCTTCCAAACCCATGATCTCTATCATTGAGAAGGACAGGGAAGCAGATGTATAGGAACACTACCAACTGCCAGTTTTCCAATAAGTCACTCATCATCTTGACTCAGGACTCTGTCAGCGTTCTTTTACGAGTGCAGGGTCAAAATCCTGACACTCCATTCCTAAAGCATTGTGGTGTGCTTATAGACTAACAACTACAATGATTCAAGAAGTCAGCTCACCATTAACTTCTTCAGAGCAATAAAGGATGGGTAGTAAATGATGACCTAGCACATATCAAATGAATCACTTTAAAAACAAACCATGCTGACACTCAATTAACTCAAACCTCTCCAAGTCTCTGTAATATTTTCCATGATTATCATCTCTAACTCTTACGCACAAATGATATTAATCTAACCAGGCTGCAGTTACTAGGAACATTCTTACTTATTTTCTTGACATTTTCACCCCATTCAGTAGCTCTCTCACCTCAGCATCTACTAATATTTAATCAACATCTCCGTCCTCACTCAACACCAGTACAAAGTACAAAGTACTGAGTAAGTCCACCTGTCTTCATCTGAACCATTAAAAATATGTCTGCCACTTTGTGTTTAATTGTACTTTCTCCACCTACTAATACTTGCTTCCTCTTTATATGCTAATAGAAGGTTTTGAATTTGCTTTAATGCTAGCTGTCCTTCTACTCTGATATTCTCTCTGTGCCAATCTTATTTCCTTTCCACTTACCTTCTCAACTCTTGTTTATTTTACCTTGTCCTCACTTGAAGAATTCTACTCATGTGCATTATATTTTTTTCCATTCTAACAAGTTCTTTATCTCCCTCATCATCCAGGGACCTCTAGCTTTGGTTCCCTTTCTTTGCACCTTTCTTGGAATATGCCTAGACTGTACCTAAAACATCTTACTCTTAAAGATCACACAATGTTTTGCCAGCATTATTCCTATTAGTCTTTGGTTCCACTTTACCCTGGCTAACCTCAATCTCATCCCATTGAAGTTAGCCCGCTTCCAATTTAGAAATTGTATTTTAAATTGTTCCTTGGTGTTCTCTATTAACAATCTAAACATCATCATATAATGACCACTCTTAACCAAGTATTCCCTCAGAGATACTTGGTCCACTTGGCTGTCCTCATCAGGTCCATCAATGGCTCTTTTGTAGCTGGATTGAGAACATTTCTGACAAGGAAGTTCTCCAGACACACTTCAGGGATTCAGGTACAAAAACAAAGTTGCTGGAAAAGCTCAGGAGGTCTGGCAGAATCTGTGAAGGAGAAAACAGAGTTAATGTTTCGGGTCCGGTGACCCTTCCTCAGAACACGTCAGGGATTGCCTTCATCTTCTTATTTTTTATATTCTTACAGAATTTTAACAATATTTCCAATTGATATTTGGGTAATTAAAGTCTGCCAAAATCCTGATATATAGTACTTGCATAGTTCTATGATTGCCCTGCAGATTTGTTCCTTTATTACATATTCACTACTTTGACGTCTTTATAATATGCCCAGTAGCATAGTGGACGCCTTGTCATCTCTCAACTCAAACCAAATGTATTTTGCTGTTGTCCCGTTATGGACATCTCTTTGGTCTGTCTACAATATTCTCCCTGATCAGTATCAGGTTTCATGTACCTCTGCTATCTTTTCTGAATACTTTATGTCCTTGTATATGAAGTGTTCAGTCCTCAGCACTGATCAGCTACATTTATTATTACCACAGCATGATATTCCCACACAGATATTTGTACTTGTGGCTCATCAACCTTATTCACCCACAGTTTGTGTTTACATTGACATTCTAAACCTGTCCTTGCATTTTTCATCATCCTTCTTCGTCTGTGCCTATCTAATCTAATTGAAGGGGGAAGGAGAAAGAATGTTGTAAGTTTAGAGAGGATATATTCTTCACAGGGTACACTTAAACAATAATAATACACTTGGAACTTACTTTGTAGTGTCTTTCACAACCATTGCTGACTGGTAGTCCATTTCTCATCCATTGATAACGTGGCATCGGTATTCCAATTGCAGTACATTCCAACGTGAGTGTATCTCCTATCTTCAGTTTCTGGGTTTTTGGCTGATTTATAATCTGAAGACTGGTCTCAGAGGTATAGAATCTTCTTCCTAGCAGGAAAAGAATTCTATTTTCAACAGTTGGTTACCAAACATATTTGCACTTTCAATTTTAAAGATATGAATGTGAGCTTGGTCTATTATAGGCACCAGTAGCAGTTTTCAAAACAAGGCAATGCCACAAACAATGAACTTCATGAGGAGATGTGGAAGGGAATACTAAATAAAGTCAAAATTATGTAAGACTGCACGGTGTAGAGCTGGATGAAC